CCTTTTGAAGGCTTTCCCCAAGCTTTGTTAAGCAGGTCACTTTTTCACCAGTTTGGACAGTAAATATGGATGTGATAAAACTTTCAGAGACATTTTGAAAAATGTGCATTTAAGTTTGCAGTTACTGTATGCATCTGTGTATGTGTTTAACCTGGTACAGAGAGCTGTTTCAGCTTTGGTGCTTATGGATGATTAAAATTATATCATTATATCTCTTTCTTTGATCACAATTTAGCGTAACACATTATCTTGATTCTCAGTAACTTCCAACTTTGATGTTATATTTAATAAAATATAATGCAGTGCTGAGGAATCCCACGGGTATCTTTAATTTCTTTTCTTTTTTATTAATATATATTACACTTTAAATGGGATTAAATTGTCTGATTAGTGAAGCAGGCTTTTGCTGCAGCAGTTAAACTCTGAATTCCTCAGGGCAAGCTATAGACATTGTTAAAGTATCTTTCCAAGATGCTGATAAACCCATGAGAGTTAAGCAAGACATTTTCCTTGTGCTGAGGCTGGTTTCATTCTCCGACCCCAACCTTTGCTTTGTTCATTCATCCTCCTCCACAGAAACCTTTGTTTTTGCCCATTGAAATGCTGTAAGGCTGCATGGTACAGTAGGTGACAGAACTGATGCAGGCTTTTGAAGACAAAATCTCCCTGCCACCCCAAACCCAAGAGCTGCGTAGAGAGGCTGTGTCACCACTGAGCATCATTCTAGAGATGCAGCAAGGCCAGCATCAGCCACTGTGCCCACCAGGCACAAATGTTCCTTGATGTTCATAGGCTGTATGCTGTCTTGAAGTGAGCCAGTACCACTGCTTATGGCCACCCAAGCAGTGTCAGGAAACTGGACAGAGCTCAAGAATGGGGCACTTAGCCCAGAAAAGCCAAGTTGGTCATGTATAAGGCCTTGGCCCAATCCCTGTGCCCAAACAGCCCTTGACAAGTGCCCGGTCAGGCTCATGAAGTACAGGGTGCACTGAGCTGAAGTTCAAACTCAGGCATGGCACAAGGGCTATCCTATCAAAAACACTTCCAGAAAATGCTTAATAGCAACTGAAAAGCAAAGAACGGGCTGAGACAGGCATGGACTTGGGGAAGGCGTTCTGGCCTTCTGCAATTTTTTCAGCATGCAGTCCTGTCCGCAGCAGCTCATTGTATGTTCATTTTAATTGCCTCCAGCAGGGTAATGAGGGCAAGTGGAGCTTAATAAACACTGGCTGAGGATGACTATGCAACTCTCTAAGAGAGGAGGTCCTTCTCAGCCTGTCAAGCAGTAATAGTAGCCTGGAGAACCTGGGGCCACATCATTATGCTCTTTATTACATTTCATTAAGACTATATATTACAGAAGTAACATTGTAGAGTTGGACAGTGCCAAGCCAAACAGCTCTTGCCATACTGTGAGCATAGGAAAATTCTTCATCACTTCAGCTTTTATTGGCTAACATAATTGTCTTTAAAATGGTCAATCAATACAGTATGCAAAAAGAAAAATTAAAATGTACAATAGGCTGACTATCAAATAAAAATCCAGATTCAAAAGAATTAAACAGAAAAGGCCTTTTAACTTTGTATAATTCTCCGTATAATACTCAATGAAAAGTTGACATAACAATGCATATAACAATAAAAACTTATATGCAAACCTGTCTGATTATTTCATAAATAATTCAACCAATTAGAGTCATGATAGCATTTCAACCTAAAGAATGGTGAAGTCCCTCTGCACAGGGCATGAGGCAGAGTTTTATAATGCACCTGAATTTTTTGTCCTTCAGCATCCAGACCCAGCTTGGACATTGTTTATGTACCTAAGCAGTTTACATGGGTGAATAGCACAGCTGCCTTTTCAAAGAGCTACTCGTGTAAAGCTAATTCCTTCACAATAGGATCAGCAGAAATACTCACAGTGTATAAGGCGGTGGTTTTGCATTTCAGGATTAATGCAGAAAAAGAAGGAATAGACTAGACTAAACTAGAATAGAATGTTTCCATATTTCTAGGACCTGAAGAAGGGGACATGGGGCAGGAGTGGAGGTTGTTTCTTTATGTCTACACAGTAGAAAAATATCTCTTCAGATTTACACAGATAAAAATGTTTTGTTCATAGGTGATCCTTCCCCTCCTGGTCACTGAAATGGAAGATTACTGAGCTAACAGGAAGAAGCATTTCACAATATTACTGGCAATTGAAAAAAGTAACAATTTAAAAGCTCTAGAAAAAATATATGTATGATGAAGGATCCTTTTGCATAGATATAATAAGTGAACCTGAGTGCAACACAGCAAGGCACCGCTAGCATAGACCCAGGAGGCACAACAGGAAAACAAAGCATAGCCAAGTAGTCCAATAAAAGAGAGAAAATGGGAAGAGCCCTCACAAACCATCACTAATGTCTTGGCTGTCCTTGGTGATAAAAGTTTTATCACGTTTAATTACCTTCCGCTTTGCTTTGCAAATGATATGAAAGTATCTTACTACAAAGTGAACTGTAAATTGCATAATCAGCTGTTTGGTTTGAAGTAAAAAGCAGGCAGGTGAGGCAGACCAGGATCCTTGTGTGGACATATGCAAGACCTAAGCTCAAGGCACTGAAAACCTCAGTCAACAGCAAGGATTCCCCAAACTAGGATACTACCAATGAATGTACCATCAGCAGCAGGGACTTCTGACTTTCCTGGCAGTGTGTAGGTGCCATCTCAACTGCTAAAATCAGGGTACAAAATCTGGTCATGTGCTTTCTTCTTCTCTTCTAGTGCCTTTCCCTCAAACCCTTCAGCTTCCTATATCCCCCCAGCCCAGAACCTGCCCCCTGCCTCCTACAGGAGATATCCTAGCAAGGATGAAAGAGTTTGCAGTGATTACTTTGCTGTTGGGAATACACATACCACAGTTCAAAAATCCTTGGTATTAAACATGAAAGACCTGAGCCTAGCAAGGAGCAGGAAGAGTGACATTTAAGGCAAGAAATGTCAGACATTTAGAAGAAATCGCTATCCAATACAGAAAAACAACACTATAAACAACAAAAGACAGAATCTGCCTCACTGGAAAATAACCATGAGAGAAGAGTTTTTGCAAATGCATCTCTGATTTGAGAGATAAAATTAGAAAATTTAAAGTCAACTGTTGTGAAACCATCTTTGCATAGTCCAATAATTTAGCAAATTTAGATAAGTGTTTGAGTTGATGTCCTGACTTTTCTGAGGACAACAACCGTATTGGTACTACCTTTAATGGGGCCAGGATGTTGACCCTGAACTTTGTGCTGTTGATCCAAAGCAATCAACATCAAGTTGTGTCAGTGCTCATATGAGCACAGAAATGAAGTCACTACAGCACTCAATTTGCTAAAGAACTTTCCCATTACCAGGCAAACAGTATCCCTTTGCTGAAGACCAATACCTGCTCGTTCGAGGAAAAGGTCTATGAAAATACTGCCATCACAATTTATGTGAAAACTACCTCTAGAAAAAGTGGCAATTCAAATGATAAATTGTAATCCATGGAACTCAGGAACAGAGCTAGCATGAAGGAAGCAAAAATGCTTTTCCTCTTAAGAAAACTTTGACTTTTTCCGGGAAAATTGATAAAAGAATGTTCTGGTTCCAAACCCTAATATTTTGTTTCCAAAAAGGGTCAATAGAGCCTTGAGTTTAGGAATGTCTGCTTCTTTCACACTAGAAGGTAGTTTGAAATCCTGTCTTTTTCCATAAATTATGTTTCCATTATGTCCCACTTCTTTCTAAAGAAACATAAGAAAATAATCCCATTTGCTTCAGTTACCTAGCTTCCGTAAACCTTCCTCCACCTTGACTGATGGACGATCATAAAATCATAGAATGGTTTGTGTTGTAAAAGGCCTTAAAGTTCATCTAATTCCAACCCACTACCTTCCACTAGACCAGGTTGCTCAGAGCCCCATCCAACATGACCTTGAACATTCCCAGGGATGCAGCATCCACAACTTCTCTGGACTTCCTGTTTCAGTGTCTTACCACCCCCACAGCAAAGAACTTCCTCCTAATATCTAATACAAAATTGCTTTCTTTCAGTTTGAGACTATTCCCCCTTCTCCTGTCACTAAATGTCCCTTGTAAATAGTATGTCTCTAGCCTTCTTGTAGGCTCCCTTCAGGGACTGGAAAGCTGCAAATAGGTCACCCCAAGGCTTTCTCTTCTCCAGGCTGAACAATCCCTATTCCCTCAGCCTTTCCTCATAGCAGAGGTGCTCCAGCCCTCCAGTCATATTGGTGGCCTCCTCTGGACTCGCTCCGACAGGTCGATGTCCTTCCTGTGCTGGGGACTCCAGAGCTGGATGTAATTCTCCAGGTGGGATCTCACCAGAGTGGAATAGAGGGACAGAATCCCCTCCCCCAACCTGCTGGCAACAGTCCTTTGGATGCAGCCCAGGATACAACTGGCTTTCTGGGCTGCAAATGCACATGGCCAGGTCATGTCCAGCCTGTCACCCACCAGCAGCACCAAGTCCTTCTCGACAGGGCTGCTCCTGATCTGTTCATCCTCTTGTATTGATAATGGGGGCTGCCCCAATCCAGGTGCAGCACCTTGCACTTGTTAAACTTCACAAGATCTCCATGGGCCCACTTCCTGAGCTTGTTCAGGTCCCTCTGGATGACATCCCATCCTTCAAGTGTGGCAACCACACCACTCAGTTTGGTGTCATCTGCAAACTTGCTGCAGGTGCATTTGATCCCTTTGTCTATGTCATTAATTAAGCTATTAAATAACACTGGTCCAAATATGGACCCCTGAGGGACATCACTTTTCAGTGATTTCCATCAGGACTCTGAGCCATTGATCACTACCCTCCAATTGATCACTACCCTGTGACCATCCAATTCTTTATCCAACAATATTTGACAACTCCTTGTAAAAAAAGTTAATCTTACTAACATTTCTATACTGATAAAATAAACTTTAGGCATATAAAAGAATTTATATTTTTTGTATATATATATATAAAAGTGCATATACACAGAGACCTATATGGATTTGCAGTAATTAAATCTAAAGAAATTCCACCATGTAAAAATGAATTAATGTACAAGGTATAAATATATATCACTTAAATAAGTATCTTTCTGTTAGAAAAGAGTTGTTTTGTGTGTGTGTCCCCCAGTAACAGTTATATGTTAAAGTTTTTCTCTTCAATAAAATGTCCTTTCATGAATATTGTTAGAAATCAAATTAAAGACTCAACTGGCCTGCATTTTTAGTGTATTTATAAGTCCTCTATTCCTAAATTGCTCTTTTTATCCAGACAAGTCAAATGCTGCTGGTAATCTGTTTTTCTGTCGCATATTCTTCTTTCTTTAAAATCACAAATCATCCTGCTCCATCCAGAACATGAGGGCAAAGATGCACTCTACTTACAATCCTCTGTAAGACCCAACACTAAAATACCCATAACTTACAAGTGGTATAGTATTTCAGGCTTAAAAAATAGATGTAGCTAAAGCTATCTTCAGCACAAGGTAAAAACCACCCCTGGGAAAAAAACTACCCACAGTGTGAACAGGAATACATGCTGCAATATTTATGAGTATCATGGTGTTGGGAATTCCCTCTGCAAGCCTTTGATTTTCATCATACATTGATTTTTATCATAAGCTGTTCTAAAATTAGAGGAGGCCACAATCTGACAAGTATCCTTTGTGTTTTAGTTGTAGCAGATGGATACTACTACCTCATCTTGAAACTGTTCCAAAACCTGAGGCACTAATCTGACATATTAAACTGAATTTATATAAAGTCTTGTGTCTTTACATCACACAACATCGTTTATGGCATGCTGGGCTGTGACAGTTTAAGTTATGAAAATGTTGTATCACTCAGTGGATCAGATTTGACTTTATAGCAGGTCTCATGAATTTCTTCATCCGGAAAGAATAAATTTTGTGTAGGAGCATTCTGCACAGCACCCCTGCAGAGCAGTAGATTAAAACTGAATTTTAGCATTTACCTCTTGCTCAACTATAAATCAGGAATTAGAATTGATAATGGCAGTTATCCATCAAAAGCAATGCAACTGCAGATGAGCAGGAGTAGTTTTATGGATAAAATGAGTTACTTTTTATTATTATCATTAAAGGAAACCTCTTCTATTTGGAATGTTTCTAGGTTCTAAACAGGGATGATTAGATCCATGCTGGTCATCAACATGGATAAGGAAGATGCATTTGAAGTAACACCTCTCCAGATTTCAGAACATTATTCTGAAACTCTAGCAGTGGTCTTGAGCTCAGCAGTTCACATTGCAGACTCCTGTTGACAGAAGACCTGGAAGGAACATCTACCACAGCCGGCAGGATTCTGCTCCTCGGTTCATCGTCGTATTCCTTGGGCAATTGAAAGCTTTACGGAACTCTTCAAAGTTGCTCATGGCTCCAATAACTCTGCAAAGAGAAAAGGGGTGACCATGCAGCTTGCCTTCTGTTAAACACTACAGGTCTGCAAGTGTTTCAGTGTGTTCACTTCAGGTTGAATTTTCAGGCTTTCATATAATTTTTCCACAAATGAAACCAAAAAGTTCAGGAGAAGCACTGCCAGTTAAAGCTAATAGGAAGACAATCTTATTTTGTGTGGTGCTTTGAGAAGCATCTTGCTTTTCTAGAAACTCAGTGAAAAACAAATGCGTTTTGTAATACTATGTCCTCTAGAACAATTTTCTAATCTAACCCTTGGCAGCAAGGGTGGGAGATCAGCAGTAGCCTTGCACATTGAAATCCTTCTTCCAGCACCTGCCAGATGCTGCAGTCCAACAGGCATGTGCATGTAAGCACACACTGAGGTTGCGCTGGCAGTGGTTTCATTTGGATCATGTCAGCCAGCTTCCCATAACAATGCACTCTGCCCACCATGGACACACACACACATTGGGACTTCACAGCTGGAGGGGGCAGTTAGACCCTCTTATTGGGCAGCTCAGCCTCACACCCGTCAGACTCAGCTCCTCAGCTATTTTGGAAATGCAATTTCTGAGCCTTCTGACCTGACCAGCTTCCCATGCTCTCTTGCTTCCACCACAGGTGATGTGGTACTGAAAGCACAGCACATCTCTGCCTCACACAAGATAGACAATGTGTCTGCATCACAGGCTTGCACCTGCAGGCATAGGGGAAGAGCTTCCTCTTTGTACGCAATCATGGCTCCTGCTTTCATGTCTTCATTATTCAATGCTCTCAGAAATTATTATTTTACCATTGCTAGATTAAGATTGTGTTGTTGGCTGCTTTTTCCTATGCCTTTAAACATCCTGGAACTTACTAGTCTGAAAATTGCAATGGTATTAAAGAGAGTTAAGAGAGGAAAAGTATCTACTGAGCTATTAATTGTATGCCTTTCTATTGTCTTTGTTATGCACTGAGAAGGCATTTTTCTATATTGCAGACAATCAGCTTCTCAGCATAGCACAGCATGGTAGAAAACATTCTTATTACATTGATTAGACTTTCTATGAGTAAGAAAATTTGCAGTCATCTGGTACAAAAATGTCTAAAAGTCAGTTTTATAGGGAGGATTACAAAATGAGGTTAGGCTTCAAACAAGATATACGGTTTTACTGTAAAAATATTGCAGATACATATTCAGGGACTGGAACAGCAAGAGCTGGTCATGCAGAACTGCTGTTGAAGTTGGTGGGAATTCTGCCTGCCATATCAGGGATTTCAAAGTGAAATTGGCCTCCAAAAATATCTAAGACACATGTTAATACTGAAAATCTGCCAATTAAAAAGAAATAAAACCAGAATCTATCTAGTGAAATATCTTTATGTGTGCATGCATGCCACTTTTCTACCCATGGTTTGATATTGCCACACATTAACTGTGAAATCAGAGTGGGCTGTCTGGATTTCATCCCACTGATTTATAGTAGAGGCACCTTTCCCTGAACAGGTTACCCTGAGCTCCCTTGGTAATCAATAGAAAGATGTACTTGCAGAGTCTAAGTAATTTAAATTTATTACCTGATGAAAGATTATATATATGTATATATATACATAGAGAGAGAGAGACAGAGAGAGAGAGTACTGTATTGGAGACACTTCCACTATGAATCAGAATCAGCTTGTGGAGTTAACATCCTTCCTCCAAATAAAGAGGTGATGTAGCACTTGACTGAGGGCAAACATACAATTCTTAGTTAAGTAAATACGACTGACATGAATCCCAACAGAAACAACTTGTTCTTGGTCATACAAACTCTGTGAAGAGGCTGAGAAATAAACTCTGGCTTCCTAACTCCTATGTAATCTTTAAAATTTCCCCCTTCCAACCTCTCCTTGGAGTTCATGAGTGTCTGTGGTTAGGGGAGCCTGTGGGAGGCCTTTTGGGGAAAGGCACAGTTACTCTGGACTATCACAGTTCCTTCAAGCAAAGTGTCACTTGAAGGTCAATGGAAGAGTATAGTCTCAAACCAAATTTATAGGGCATGTTTTGCTTTGCATTATCAATATAATTCAAGGTAGTCACTTAGAAGCTTTTAATGAACTCAGGCAGATTAAATCAAGGACGCTCCTAATATTCGCTGTTTTCTAAACTAGAATTGCTTAGGGAAAGAAAGTGATAGATGAGGCATTTTACATACTCAGGCCATGACTACAGAACATCACAGGGATCAGGCTGCATTCTGGTTCAAATGCTTTTGAAGGTAGATGCAAGCTCCTCAATTTTACAGAAGAGCATTTGTAACAGTGAAAGATAAGCTAATAAAACCAGTTCAATTTCAATCTAAACCAACGGCACAGTCCAATTTTGTGCTTGCTCTTACCCCCCTCTTAAAACGCTAAATTTCAGCACTTCTGTTCTGCAGTGATTGATTCTGTATGTATACTGAGGAAATACATTATTTGCACTACCTGAACTGTGGAGGGCTGTGAGCTCCAGTATATATTTGCTCCCTCGCAGATTCTGGTCTAAAGGAGTTGCATCTTACCTAATAAAATATAAAAAAAAGAAACAGGCACATTATCTGAGATGACTTTGTAAGTAAAGCAGAATGTAATGTCAGTGTTCTTAAGATGCCTATTACTGACAGAATGCATTAAAGGGAAAGACACCATAAATTCCTGCTTTGTCTCACCTTTGCTAACCTGCGGTTTTCTGTTGGTATATTCTCTTGTTTTTCAAATCCTCTAATGGATCCACCCACTGTTTTTCTCTACCCACTCTATCCCATCATCTAATCACAGCCACTTTACTAATTCTTTTTTTGAAGTTCTCTATAATGGTAGCTTGCTTTTCAGCTTATGCTGCAGCATCTCACACCTTAATAATTACCAAGCATTCTTCTTGGTCTCAAAGCTATGTCATTTTTATAAAAGGTACATAAAATGATGCTTATCATCTCTAGACTTGAAGATATATTACCTGACATATTTATTCCATGCTGAAATGTCAGTTTCTTTTGAAATTACGTATTTTCCACATTTCCATCAGTGTTCCCTAATTCACTAATTCTGATAAGATACTTAACCCAATTGTAACTAACTACAAAACAGGGTAGACAGAATATTTGCACAGCTGAATAATCCCTCTTATGCTGTATCCATTGCATGAAAAAATCTCATTTAAGCTGCCCCTGCCTTACCCAACTCCCTGCATTGAATGTTCCTATCGACAAAATCCTTTAAGCCAGATAGCCCATAGGATTTCAGTGGACTTCAGTGCAATTTTGTCTGGACAGCCCTGACAGTTTGAATAAGTCTATTCAGTTTCTGGAGCTCTGTGGAAATAGGCTGAGCTCAAGGGTACCTTGAATACCCTGCTCTCACTGTGCATGTGCCTCCCCTATGAGGGTCCACCAGACACGTAATTGCTGCAGTGGTCCTGTAATAATCCTATAGCTTCGAAAATTTCTTGGAGAAAAATCCACACAGTATGAAACTTAATTCAGCATAAACTACCAAAGTGGAATCCTTTCTCTGCTCAGTGTTGTCAAACTGAAATTGCCACAGGCCCATAGGCTGCTACACTGACTCTCAGCAGAGAAATGATTTTCATCCAGGACTGGTTGCATTGGGTGCTGTTTCTTCAGTTTGGGATGATTTCATTCCTTCAACTGGTGCGCAAAGTTTTATAGTCTAACTTTTACTTCTCATATAGGGAGTTTGTCCCAACTTGTTTAACCAAATAAATAATTTCTGATCCTCTCCTGTTCTACATTTTTTCTAAAAAATTCACACTCCTTATCAAAGTTTTGTTACAACATTTTTAGTGTATAGATGGGAAAAAATAAACTAAGACTCTCTTCACTGCTCCTTAGTTTCATTGAACAACATTAACAGTAACAAATAGTGGTGGTACATTTTCAACAGGAATCTGTGGTGGAAGCAGTTAGAAACTGCTGTGTATTGCAAGCACCAGAAATCTGGGAAGTTGAAAACTGGGAAAACTGAAGGAGGGTAAGGACTCAATACTCACAAGAAGACCCTTAGTGGAGGGAAGTAGCAAGAATAAAGAAAGCTGCTGTAACAACACTGTGCAAACACAAAAATAATTTCAGCAGTTCTGGTACAATGGATAGATGAGGACAAAGAGAAAAAGAGAAAAGAAATAATAGTCCCGTGAAAAGTCTCTGCTTATATTCTGAAAAGTCTGGGTTTGGATCATGTGGATTGTTGAAACAAAGCAGGCTCATCTCTGCACTGCACATTGTGCAGGTTAATAAATGGGGACTTGTAAAACATTTGTGCTACTCACGTGGGCATAACTCAGAAAGAAAAGCTGGTTGTGTGTGAACTCAAGGCCTGGCAGTAAAGGCTCTTCTTCTCCTCCCCTCTTTTCTGTAATCCATTTCCTGTATGCCTGATAAGAAAGAGATACTAAGTGCCTTTCAGCAACATGAAGATAACCACAGCTTTTTTTCGTACTACTATGCTTCAGATATTTTTTGACTGCTTACCCTGAAAGCTTCTCTCAAACCTCCATTATCTGCAATGTTTTCTGCCAAAGTCCTCTTCCCTTTCACCTGACAGAATGAAAGAACATCAGTCATTTGACCCGTTTCTGAACTTCCTTCTTGATCAGCTTCAAGAATGGGAAAAAGTAAAACAAGGAGAGAATGACCTCAGCCAATTTCAACAATCATAACTTTGGTTAAGAAAATGGGGTTTCAATGGGAAAACTGTCAGTAAAAAATTTTCTGTGATAAGTTATCCTGGCTCTGGTCCTAGATCTATGTAGCACAAAATATAGTAGATAAAATGCACTCAAGAATCCAGTCCCTGATCTTTGATCTTAGCATCAGTAATTTTCCCCCCGAGGACTGTTTTTATCTGGTTACATGTGAGATCCAGTAGTCTCTTTTTTAAACTTTTATCTAAATGGTTATATTTATTTCTCTACATAACTCTTCATATAATATTGGGATACTAAAATAACTTTTAAGTCATAACATAAGCATAATTAAAAATAACTGTCAGAGACAGAATTAATATTGATAGTATATTCAGTGCTCTAAAAATATCTACGAAGAAGATTCCTTTTGCTTCTCTCTGGTATTGATTCCAAGAGCAAGAGTAATAGCAACAAGGATATATTTCAAGAAGCAGCACTACATAAACTTTGTGAGAAATCCAGCCTCCTGGCACTACCAAGTGCAATACCACTGTGAACAAATCCTAATTTCTGCTAGATCAGCTTACCTCTGCTCACCCAACCTACTAAGGTCTTAGTGTTACCAACTGTAATTGTAATTAAGCAGTTTTGCTCTCTATTATGCCTTGAATAAGCAAGATAATTGAGCAGAGTTTTGAGCAGAGCTATGAAGGTCAATGCTGGCCTGCAGCTATAGGCTTTCCCATGCCACAGGGATCAGTATAGTGGGCTCACCTTAGTTCCAGGATGCTAAAAGGGGGGTAAACAGAGCAGAAAAGGTAAAAAGATCCAGGACACAGCTACGTACCTGTGCCCCACCACTCAGTGCAGATGAGCACCCAGATTGGCCTCAAAAGAAGTGGCTTGATGCCTTGGGTACAATGTTACACCCAAGAGTGCAATAAGGGAGAAAGGGGAGCATTAGAGGAAAAGCCTTAACCCTTTCCTGTCAGCTCTCCCCTCCCCTCAGGAGGCTGGAGATGGAGGTGAAAGAGAAGCTTTTAGGAGAAAAGGTGCTGGGACACCAGGGAACTTTCAAACACAGCAGCTGCCTTCTTTTTTGGCCTTTCCTTGCAGTGGGCTTGTGAAGGAGACTGATTTGGAGTGTAAGATGAGAGTAACCTCACAGTGGCACTTGGGTCACAGGTCATTTTAATAAGTGGAAGAAGTCTTTCTGCTGACCTCAGGCATCTCTGGATCAAGTATTTGAGACTAGTCTGTGCAGTTTGTGACAGGGCTCAGGGACCACGATAAGCCCTTTATTTGATGAGATGACTTTGTGTGATTATTGCATTCTGAAGCTATTTCTATATCCACTTTTTCTTTCATTACACTTCTCTTCTGCAGACATTTTTATTGTAAATCAGAAGAGACGGAAGAAGAGTAAATAGGTTTCTTGATCCATGAAAAATATTCATACAGAGGTAAAAGACCTGCAGACTATTGATGTAAGTGAGAGGCAAAAATAAAAAAAAGATCTTTGCTTGCATAGCTCTTCATACAAAAGCTATAAAATATGGCAGAAAATATGAAGATTTTTCTATCATCTAAAAAGTGCTTTTGGTTATCCTGTGGAAATGGGATGACAAGGTTGTGGGTAACAGGATCTCTCTAGTAAGCCCATTCATGGACTTCAAAGGCAGTAGCTACACTGGAGAAGAAATTCAGACCTACCTCACCTCAAGAGACAGTGCAGGAGAAGGGGATGGCTAAGCCAGTGGCAGAGGCACGGAAAGGGCTCAGCCACATCCCTGGGGAAGGTTTTAATGACCTTCTTTAAGTGGCACTTTTGTATTGACAGTTTTTGTCCTACATATATTCAGGAATGAGCCTGAGAATTTTTATTTGTAAATTAGTTTATAGGAAATACTTCAAGTCTGACTTGCTGGACTTCAGACTGGACCACAACATGGCTTCATTGTCTCTGAGACTAACAGAAGAAGCCTGGGAAAAGTGTTAAAATTATTGCTGAGCATTCCATGTGACCTCTCTATTCTTAAAAGGCAAAGATGAAACAGTATTTCTAAAATGTAAATAGAGGTGATAGAATTGAGTGGGGATTTCAGTATGTATTTTTTCCTGAAACTTAAGATTAAAATCATGTCCCAGCCAACATTACTGGAATTTCAGCTATTCATTTCTGAAAGTCTGGGATTTATCCTATTTATCTTCATTTTGTACATATATATATATATATATATAATGTGTACATTTTCAGGGAAGCCCATAGCTCTGATAAAGAATCAAACAGAAACCATTCACTTGCACTTTCTTTCTCAATCCTTTTCTATGAGCTACTGCTATCATACTCCTTTGATTAGACATACAAATGGGGTCTGTGTGCATGCATGGAAGAAATTGCCAGAGTTCAATCTGAAATAAAGTAGGGTTTATGCATCCATTTTATAACCACAATAAATAACAGGCAGAAGTGTTAAAGAAATCTATAAAACATGCTATTATATTCTTTCTAAAAAGAGTGACTGCTCAGTTTTCATTACGGACCTCATTTTCAGAAGACATTTAACATGCTCACAATAATTAGACCAGCCCTGCTGAGCGGCTTCATCCTCTTCCTCTGAATCCAAAACAATGTGATGGGGAGAAGTAGTTTAACCCTGTCACCTGGATGTGGATAGTGGTATTTGACTGGACTAATCAAACCTGACAGACAATTTTTAACATAATTATTCACTTCAAAAAATCATTTGTTGTGAGAAATGAAGTTGAGAGCCTAATATCCCAATACACTGGGATTTATAAAAAGAGAACTTAAAAAAAAAAAAAGGCACAGCAACCAAAACTCCTAATGTATGACTGTTTTCAGTCACTGATGGTTTACATACATATAAGCCAGCTCGCTTCCAGTAGTAATTGTTGTATTGATCAATCATGCACTTTGTTTTCTCTTTAAATTTTTCTTCAGAGTTAGTTGTCCACCAAGGGTCTAAGTTTCCATTTTTGTCATATTTCCGACCTCAAAAAGGAAAGAAAGAAAACAAATGTTTTTGCAGGAGAAAACTTTTCCAGTTTAGAAATCTATCACCTGCACAGAAATGAGAGGTGAATGTCTTCATGCAAATGTGTGTACAAAATGGATAGGATCAGTGAGCAAAATCTTGACCCCACTCAAGTAGAGCAGTGAAAAGCTGGCATTCTATTTATTGTCATCATTTCCATTTGCAGAAAAAGATAGCAATGACTAATGAGTTCTATAGTACATTTTATAATTACATAGTGTAAGAGGCATTTGAGCTTTCTCCTAAGTCTAATTGTGAGTATTTTTCATCCTCAGCCCATATGTCCTTGATTCTGTAAATGTGATAACTAATTTATTATTAATTAATTTTACACTTGATCAGAAAAACAACCCATTTCATGGAAACTTCTAAAGTTTCCATTTTTTATTTTGGAGCAAAACCAGGACATTTGAACCCTATTCATGGAAACAAGGAGAATACATACATCCCGTTCCCCAGGCTGATGGTTATAGTACTGGCTCATGGAAGTTGCAGTGTCAGATCCCTGCTCCCATCATTTGCAGAAGAGTATCTAATCTCCATCATGACTTCAGTCAGTCAGACACAAGACATGTTTGGACTTCTTTGAAAGCAGGTTTAGCTGCCCATGTGGATGAAGAGAGGTAAGGAGCAACGATAGACATGATACCAAGTACTGAAGATGCTTTCTTTCATCTTTTTATTTCTTTTCTTTTTCCCTATGTGCTCTCTTGTTCAAGATGACAAATTCCCTAGAGATGTATTTATTTCTATATTTGGAAAGTAAGCACCTGGCAAAAAGTTGGGGTCTGCTCAGGGAATCAAATCTTAGGTTCCTTTCTGATTGGCAGGAGACAAGATGGAGATTAGATACTTACCTACTCAGGAGGTGGGAGTTTATGAAGAAAAATGTCTTCATTCTGGAGAGTTTGCTGACACAAAATGTTGTAGACCAGTGCCAACAGGATACCAGGATACAAGGTTTTATTTTTGTTTTTGGGGGGAGTTGTTTGTTTGTATTTGGGGAGTTGTTTTTGTTTATTTGTTTGTTTTCTTTAGTTAAAGGTGTTCAGTGTAGCACAACATAAGCCAACTCAAAATTTCTCGCCAGAGGAGGTTCATGTTTCTCTCCCTCTGTGCCACCCCTCCCCACCCTCTTTCTCTCAGGAGCCTAATTTTTAAAAGCACTTTACTGAGATAGCCAAAGCTAGATAGTGGTAATGCCCCACTCCATCCAGTTTGTCAGGACAATTGGATTGACATTTTCAGACCATTCTTCTTTTTTCCCCCCTCTCTCTCCTCTTTTTTTTTTCTTTAATTTTAATATTTTGCAACACCTTTTTTGTACCACTCTTGTTCCAGTATTGTATTTTAAAAGTTTCATATTGTCTTCTGAAAAATGTCAAAACTGAAATGAAAAGTTTTCTTGGAAGTAATTTTTATGAATCGGAAGTTATCCTTTTGCCCTTCCCACTTCCCCCCATCAGGACTTTCTGAATCTGTTGCTGATTTAGTTTCCATTCAAGACAAACAGAAAGAATCAAAATTTTTGCATTTCTTACCAAACAAAATCCAGTTCAGACAAGCAAGATTCTATGTAGATAAATCTAATAAATATAACTTTATAATTTTTTCACACAACTCAGCACTGTTAAAAAATCCCCAAATAATAAAAAAACTAAAGCACCTAGAAGTCAGCTTTCTAATCTGTCAGTTCTGTAAAAAATAAGTTATCAACATACAGTTAAACACTCACCATTGCTATCAAATCCATGGGTAAACTCGTGGCCAACAATTACTCCAATGGCACCATAACTTAATGACCTGTAACATACAGAAAACGTTTTCTCAGAAAGTGTCCACACTCATGAACATCAAAGGACAAAAGACCTCAGGAAAGATCATTATTTATTTAAAAGGTGTATGAAAGGAAAATCACACCTGCACAATTTTTACTTAAAGTTGTTGAAAGTCTTCACATTAAACTCCTTCTTGTTTAAAAGCAACATTTAATCTAAAACTCTGAAAGCATTGTGATGTTTCACTCTTCTAACCAAATCCCTTATTAGCATCATATGAGCTCCAAAATATCTCCTTCAGCTGACTGCATTGTGCATATTCTGATTGAGAACAGGATAAATTTATAGGTGTAACTATTCTGTCAGCACAACCATGAAAAAGAAGAGATCAAAAGCGGCAGTGGGTTTCCATCCTGTTGGCTCCAATCATTCTTCCCTGGCATGCAACAAAGACTATACTTTGTAGAGCACTAAAGAGATCTCCACTCAGTTTTAAAAATAAAGGTCATACAATTTCCTTGCACCTGTCCTGGAACAGGGCATGATACCCAGATTTAATGTACTGGAAAAACAGAATAGAAAGAAATATTTTGTATTCCTGATTGGCAATTAATTATATTTTCCTTGTTATATCCAAATAAAAATGCATCTGAGAGAGATAGGGATGAAAGTGGGAAAAGTTCAGGCTTTTTAACACCAAATGCAGTGGATATCATGTGTGTAGGTGATGTACTAAATGCATCTTTCATTTGTTAAGTTGGTTTTTATGATTTTAATTATTTCAGTTATTGACATGCTATACTTCAAAGTGGCTTATAGTATTTCTAACACATTGTATTGAAATAGGAGAAAGGCGGAGGGTTTTGAAATAACGTGTTATTACTGGACCTAATGATCCATAGTACACTAGTTGCTCATCTCAGACATGCCCAAAAAGTATTATATCATTTAATTCCCTCTGCTCCCATGACAATTCTTCACTTTATTTTTTTCTTTCATGAAAGGTACTTTCAAGCATGTGATAAAATCTTCCTACTGTTTTTTTCCCCCAAGTGCTATTACAAACCTTCTCTAAAAAATGCTGGTTAAAAGTATGTGTTTCAGCAATGGAAATATCATCCTTTTGTGCAACAAATTTGTTATTTTGTGTAGCACACAGTGATAATTACCCATAATAAATGCACTATGTTAGACTTGTTTTCCACATCTGAAGTGAAGTGGTTATATGGGATCTTTTGCAGCTGAAGAAGTACAAATATAATGGCACAAAACCCATAATGAGATCAAGAACCAAGCCCTATTACTAAATACATCTTGTTTTTCCTCTAAAGTTCTCAGTCACCATGAGTGGCAGGGACAAAGAACAGGCTGGTGTTCTGGCACTCCTACATCTTTCCATTCCTCCAAAAGATGGGGTGAAGTTTGGGGTGAATTTTGGCCTTTGCTTCTGGGAACCCCCTTCAGCATTTTGTCCATCTCAACAACACTTTTTGCCAGCAATTTTCCCAGCACTGTTCATGCTTTTTGCTTCTGGGCACAGTTGGACTGAGATGGAGGGAATTAGGTGCAGCCCAGCAGACACTGTATTAACTTTCTGGGACTGAGTAGGCTCAGAGAACTGTAAGGAAGCTACCAGGTCAGGAAATTTGAACTCTCTATTTCAATGTATCTGACAGTGAAGGCTCATAACTATGAATGATGGCATTTGAATGATATGTTATTTCATGTACTGAGATGTAAAAGTGATAACTAAGCTTCCCTTTATGCAAATAGATCTAACTGGTTTTTGGTGGTTATGCTGGAACTGGACACTAAAATGCCACTAAATGTTAAATATTTTCTAAGTCAGTTTTCTAGCAAGTGCTGATGACTTTTTGATGGTTTTTCTGTTCCACGGCCATGTACTCTTTCCTCTAAACAGACAGAAAACATCCAGAATATTTCAAGGACAAAAGCAATCTGTTGTCTGATATAAACCAGCTACATTTGTTTACTAAATTGCATTTTGATATGTACTCAAGCAAAACCAATTTAAGCTAAGGTAACCTTTAAAGATGAGAAATGAGCAAAGTATAATACTTCGAAAGAACCACAATTTTATCACTATGGCAGAAGGTCAGAGTACAGAGAAATCTCTTCAGAAAGCAAAGCTGGAAATAGGCCTGCAATAACCATAACAGAAAAAGGGCTCACCTTAACAAGAAAGGACTTTCTTCTATCCCCAATTACCACTTAGAAAGTCAGCTGGCTCATAAGAATTCTCTTTGAATGCAAATTATTTTGTTCCTAAATTGAACGTGTCTTTCTACATATATTGCTAAATTTTCTGTTTACAAGGACACAATCCAGATTGCAAGACGGCAAACCCAAACTCTTCAAAAAGTTTGATTTTTTTAACAAAGGTTTATTAAGGATATGTTTGACCAGTAACTGCCTTTATATAACTCCAAAATAACTTTCAGAAACTGCCAATAGAAACTTTTCATGGTCTTATCCTGCCCTAAAATAGAAAGTTATTGAACTGCACAAAAGTAGTGATTTTTCAAAATTAAATGTGTGTGACCTATAATTACTCTTCCTCAGCTACAGTAGCACATGGGCCAGCTCAGGCAATCACTTATGCACATGGAGATATTCTTATGCACCTCAACAGGCACAAATGAAGGCTCAGTGTCAATTTTAGATATTAGCAGAAAGTGAACAATAAACTGATAATAATTGGCTTCTCAGGGTATTCACGTCTGTTCAGGAAGTGTTAGTTACCTGATTTACAATTCTTTTTAATACCTGCCATGTGCACACTGCTGCATCTTCATGCTGCAGCATTGAAACACTTCCACTTGGGTGCACTTAATTAGCAATTCCTGTGAGAAATCAGTCATCAGTTTAAGACAACTGACTGCAACACATATGGCTCCCAAGGGTAAGAAAAGTTATCACACAAAGTAGCACTTCTCAAAGTCAGTTCTTTCAATGGTAAAAGCAGGACACAGCAGCTGAGAACATACAACCCAAGTGCCAAGCTAGCCCTACAGCAAGAGTAGCCTTCTTCTCCATGCCCTCTTCTTTGTCCATGTGTATCTGCAATACTTTTCCCTGTTATTCCTCATTCTCACGTGTATGAGGGTCCCTGGTGCAGAACTTACCTAGGATACTCTGTTCCCCAAAAGAAAGGTTTTTGTAGTTCTCCTGCTGGGAACCCTGTAACAGCAAGAAAAAAAAATATGTATAGTGAGGTCAATTCAGTACAGCTGAATAACTGTCACAGTGCCCAACAAATGACCTCATTTGTTCAGTTTCAGAAGGTGAATCTTTGAGAGGCAGCAGAGATCCTCCTTCCTCCAGGACCACAATGGCAATAAGATTCTGCACTGAAAGAACTTTATTTTAATTCATAGCTGCATACATTGTCTGTGTGAGTAAGTCATGTGTTCCTGTGAAAAAAACACCTAGTGTTTCTTGTGAAGAATACTCAGATGTGGTAACAGATCAACAAACAATATATAGATAAAATGCAACAAGAATTCAAATAGTGTTAGCTTAGTGAGGCTTCAGTGCAGCAAAAACATGAAAGTGATAAAATGCAAGCCTAATTTTATTTAGTCTATGAAAATCAAAGGTAAATTAACATAATTAGGTACTTTGGTAAAGGAGAGCTGTAGATTATTAAGGCTATAGGGTCAGTCTAGCTACAGGAATTACTTGGCTACTTCTGGTAGACTAATTATATAGGAATAAAAATTGTTCCTCAAATTCGAAGTCGCATGTCTATTTTTAATTCCAGGGTAATATTTCATTGCCAGGGTACTGAAGACAGTGGAGCTGCACATAGTAAAAGTTTAACACCTCAAAGAACTGCTAAATAAAGCAGTCAAAGTTTTTATAACATGGTGAACAGTGCTACCCTTCCAGTCACAAATGTGGAATTTACTGTCTTGGGTTACAAACTCTCATCTGTTAAGCACAGGCATACACCTACTTTGAAGGTTACCCCACACGGATATCACCTTGTTGAGGAAGAACAGATTTCCTCAGGTGATTCATTTATTTTCCCAAGACCTGCTTGTTCAGCCTACGGGTCTCTCTTCAGTAAGTCACCTGAACACTCAGGTCAAAACAAAAACCATATTCATTCCATTCTTACCCTATTCAATCTTTTTTTGATAGGTAGCTCATGGATTTCTTTATATCTGTGATAAAGTGTCAGGCACGATCTTTGTCTTTTCCTTACAAAGTCTTTAAAAAACATACTTTCAAATAAAAAAAAAAAATTAAAAACAAACAAACAAATAGAACAGTATGCTGAGTGTAATTCATGTCAAATGATGTGGCGAGTGACATGTACTCCAGGCCTGCCCATCTGCTTTTTTCTGTTGCTCCTCTGTGGCTTCCATGATTACCTATTTGCAATCAGCTTACAAAAAGCGTGTGTTTCAGACTTATTTTCTGAATGTTATTTGGGTCTTTTACTTCTCCAGATGCTACTTTGTTGTTTCAAGCATATTATCATTTGCTTTTCTATCACCTTTAAACACAAGTTACCAACGTCAAGTACGAAGTTTTCCTGGTCTGACTCTCCTTGCCTCCCAGTGCACAGAGAAGAGTATTTACTCTGCATGTTTTTAAACATCTCACAGCAATGGTACATCCATTCGACCTGATGAAAATTGCTTGTTAGTGCACTAAGTTAAGAGCTGGTGTTAAGAGCTGGAAAGTTAATCTGAACTGGTTCCTTCCAAACGCTGAACCTCAGAAAAGGTTTTGGAATTATTAGGTTCTGCTAACTCTGAATGATTCAAATGGTCATTTCCCCACAACAGCAGATGAGAGGAATCATGGCCAAAATGAACAAATGAGCCCACACCGAAAATGGTATGAACCAAGGCAGCACGATCACTCCACAAATCACGTTTAATGATCACACAATCCTGTGTGCCTGTCACCACACCAAGAGGCTATCAAGATCTTTTAAGGAGCTGCAATTATTTTGTCCAGGTATAGAACTGAATATTGAATTTGCACTTGTCTGCAGCAGAGGTAACATACATTATTTACAGAAGGCGTAAACCTTCACTCAGGCTCATCCAGCTACGAAATATGATCAGCTGCGAATTAAGCCACGAGACAAAGTTTTCACTGAATAAGTCATGTGAATGAATGCTAAGAAGCTCCAACACTGAATCCATATAATAGATTGATAATTATTTTACTCAGAGTCAGGATCCATTTTCGGTAAGACATCACTGAGCAAAATACTGGTTAAAGGAGTGGCTCCTGTTTCTAGGTATCTATGTGAAACACCTCTGCAGTTTGATTGCACTAAAGGAAGCTTAGGAATTATTTTCAGGCCAAAGCAGAATGAGAAGCCAGTATAATTTAATACACATCCCAGAAAAGTTCAGGAAACTGAAATATATTACTCCCGAGAGGTTTTAGGGTTTTTTTAAGAAAAATAATTATCTAGATTTGAAACTAATTCTTTGGCAGCTGTTATAGCAAAGGGGTTTTGTTCTCCAGAGGTTAGTAGCACTAAATGAGGGACAGTCTTGTCCACTATCACAAAACTAGAAAGAACAAATTTGGAATTGGCAACACATGGCATCCCTTTTTATGCAATGTCTCCCTCAGGCAAGCATCAACTGCATCATCCTTGGAGGGAGCAAGGATAACAATGTCCTAGACTCAGAAAGTCCTTGAAATTTTAATAGGAGATAGATCACCTGACAGTTTCTTATTTTGTGCTGGCTTGAATTCCTCAATTTAAGCAATTCCTTTGTGAAGTCTGTTTCTTTTTTGCTTGGCATATTGCACCTAAAAGAATTAATGACAAAATTCAGAGAGCTCATACTAGGCTGCATTTGCAATAAATACTAAGGGGATTATTTATATGCCACTGGAGTTCAAGCAAGCTAAAAACTGATCTGAAGGAGTAAGACAGACAGACTTCAGATAATTTCACATCTTAAGGAATGGGTACAGGCACTGGGAATGTACTTTGAGCTAACATTTCACCATAAATTTAGCCTGTAGTGCACCTTTCTCCCTCTACACAGCCCCAGAAGAGAGACAGAGGCTGAAAGTCTCTCTCTTTGCCCACTATATTGCTAGTGCAGGCTCAGAGCCTACACTAATGGCTGAGTTCCGTCTGTCATAGAACAGCACTGGTGCCCTACATCCATGCATCTTACCTGTGGCAAGGTGGCACAGCCAGGCTAGATGGACTTTGTGCCACTGATCACAACACTTTAGAGCCCAGGTGTTCTGATCACAGCCCTTTAAGCCCATCAGTTCAAGCAGTTTTCAGTCCACATGACTATCCACTTGAGTAGCTCACTGTTCAGCAGCTTGAATTTGAGAATGTTAGGGGAGACAATGCTGATATTCCTGCTAAAGAATGAATCACATTCACATCTCTCTCCACATCCACTGAACTAGTAATCTCATTGTAGAAAGCTGGTCAAGAAAACTGCATCTAGGATTTACTTTATCATGTACACAGAGATTGATGTGAAGCTTACTAGCTTGTAATTCCCTAGATCTTCCTTCTTGAAGATAGGAGTGACATTTGCTTCCTTCCAGTTCTCAGGAATCTTTCCTAATCACCATAGCCTTTCAAAGATTACCAAGAGTGGCATCACAACAACATCAGTCAGCTCATAGGTGCACCCTATCAGAGTCCATGGGCTTGTGTATGCCCACTCTGTTTAAATATTCCCTAATCTACTCCTCCTCCACTGAGGGTCAATCTCCTTTGTTACCAGGTTCTCTGCTCTCATTCAGCACTGAGACTACATTTTCCATAGACTTTCTGCTGCTACAGCTACACTTCTGGAAATGTTTCTTGTTGCCCTTCACATCCCTTGCCAGATTAATCTCCAGGGAGGTTTAGCTTTCCAAAGCCCTGTGTCTGGACCCTTGAACAGTGACTCTGTTGAACTTTCCTCTTACTCATCTTACTGCTCTGGAATGCAGGGGCACTTCAAGCAGTGGAGTACATTCTGGCTTACTGCAAATATTTCACTCTGAAATTATGCTGATCTTGTAGCTCTGACAGTGCTCTACCTGCACAGACTACTTTTAATGTAATTGAAGGTTTCTAGCTTCATTTTATCCATTGTATCATTTTCAGCATCTCCCCGCAGCAAGGTGCTATAAAGCTTGTTAGAATGTATTTAAATCTTGAAGCTTTTCTTTTTCCAATTTTACAGGGGCTTTACTGCCATTAATGAATATAATGAGTACCTTTGTGGTATTATTATACGCATTTTGCAGATGAATAACTTTAAACTTAGTGTAATACTGTTAGTTCACATGCAATCACATTTGATCTGACAGTTCACTGAAACAATGCAGACTAATAATGGATGATGTAACTAAAAACACATGAGATGACTTGCCATATCATGAGGAAATTTGGAGTTCAAATCTAAATATGAATTCAAATGCTATAGTTCAGTTACATTATGCAGTTATATTGCAAGATGTTTTTAACCGAGCAAGGCAAGATCTAGTAAAACCTTATTCCAAGTTAGTGTCTTTACAATTTCCAATAATTAGATCGGTTTGTTTAAAGCAACTTCTGACAGTTTAGTGAATCCCACATGTAAGTAACAGATAGGGCAGACAGCTGTGCTAAACTGTGTGATATACAGGGTACTCTGCCAATTGTTGTACTGGCAATTCTCAGATGTGTTTAAAAGCTGTAATTTGTTTTTTCAAGTATCACTGAAGGAAATGTAGAATTTTAAAGGGATAAGATACAAGCAGAAGACTAACTGCTGGTCAGTAAACAAAGGATATTGAATTCACATACGGAAATAAAGGTGAAGACAGCTAGGGAGCTGGTTAGTTATCTAAAAACAGCACAAAGGGCAGGATACATTTGTTTAAAATGGTTCCACAGACTTGTATTTGGACAACTGAATCTCATCCCAGTGATGGCTTTGCATATCCTGTTTGGCCTCTAGCTGTCAGTCTTGATGGCAAGGGTCTCCTGCAAGTTCTCTCTCAGATACAACACACATGAGAAAACATATCAGACACTATCGAGCATCACAGACAGCTTTGAGCATCTATATGTAGGTGACATGGACTCAAATCCTACACTTAATTTCAAGTTTTGTCCTGTGGACAAGGAGAATAGTAAACAAAAATTGTGTAAGAATAGAAAATATCAATTGTGTAAGGCACAGTAACTGTTC